TGCAGTAGATAGAGCACCGGCCTTGAAGTCAGGAGGACTTGAGTTCAAATCCAGCCTCAGACCTAACACTTAACACTTACTAGTTGTGTAACCCTGGGCAAGTCACTTAACCCCAATTGACTTTAAAAAAAAAAAAGAAAGAAAAAAGAAAATACAGAAATCTTGTTAAAGACAGGGTTACCAACAATGCTCCCCTTTAATACATACACACTCTCCTAACTGCGCTCATTTGTTTCAAATCAGAACATTAGGTTGAAATATGTCATCCATTGTTCTAAACAAAGAGTCACTATTCACTTCCAATTATTCAGGGCTGCCAGTAGGCCAGCCCTTTGCTTAAGTACATGACAGCCTCCCCAGTACAGTCTCCAAGCTTTAAGGTGTGCTCTGAACTTTAAACCACCTGAATGAGACAGCTAGTAATGAGAGCCTGTATTAGGGTAGTAGTAGAGAAGGGAGGACAGATGAAAAGCTATCAGAATCTGGTATTAGGGATCATGCCATATGGAAATCTATTAAAGGAACTAGAGACATTTAACCTGGGGAAGAGAAGATTAAGACTGATTGGGAGTCACCAACTTTTGAAGCACTGTCGTTTGGAAGAGAAATTGCATTTATCCTGGCTAGTCTCAGAGGACAGAACCAGGAACAATGGGTAGAAATTGCAGAGGGTCATGTGACTTAAAGAAGGGGAAAACCTCTTAATTAGGCATGTTAATTAGATGAGAGCTAGCCAACAATGGAATGAACTGCTTCTTGAGCTAATGTGTTACTCCTTACTAGAAACCTTCAGGCAATGGCTAAATATTGGAGATAGGATTTTTATTTTGTTTTTGATTCTCTTTCAATGAGAATCAGATCTTTAAACTTGAAAGGACATAATGAGAATGATCAATAAGGAGTTGATGCCTGAGCTAAGTAGAGTGACATTTAAAGAGCTGTTCATTTCCCTTTCTATTTAATTCAATTGAATATGCCTTTACTAAGTATCTGTATGTGCCACACAGTGTGCTAGGCAAGATGCATGCAGAGATAAAACCAAAATAGTCCCATCCCTCAAGGAATTTAAATTGTTCTGGGGCTGAGGAGAATACACACACAGGGAAGTACATGCAAAATGCAGGCAATGCATTTTGAAGGGTTTGGCTGGGATGTGAACGTGTGAGGTGGAGTAATAGATTCCTAAACAGATTTTAATCTGGAAAGGTAGAATGAAGTCAGATTACAAAGGACTTTTTGTGCCAAACACAGCAGCTGGTATTTTGTCTTAGAAGTAATAGAGAGACCCTAAACATTCTTGAGTAGAGGACAAACATCCGACTCATGTTTTAGGAATGTCGGTCTGGCAGCTGAATGGAGAATGGGTTGGAGAGGAGAAAAACTTAATGTAGAGATCCCAGTTCGGATGCTATGGGAATAGTGCCTGTGAGAGGTGATAAGGGTTTGGATTGGGGTGGTCACCTTGCCAGGGAAGAGAAAGGGTTGGATAAAGGAGGTGACAAGATTGCTACCAGGCTCCGAAAGGACTAGCAGATATGATTGCAGAGCTATTGTTAGAGATCTTTGAAAGATCAAGAATAGGAAAGGTAGTAAGATCTGGGGAAGGGAGAACATTCAACATTTCAGAAAAGGGTAGAGAATGGCTTTTGCAATCTAAAGTCCAGCAAGCATGACTTTGATTTCTAACAGAAACCTTTTTGCTTTGCTTTTCTCTCTCCCTTCCTCACTCTCATTTCTCAAATGTGTTGTTAGTGAACATTTATAAAACCAGTGATCACAAGGAGCTAGCATAGCTTCTTCAAGAACAGATCTTTTGAAAACTAAAAATAAATTGATTGAAAAAAAAGAACAGATTTTGCCAGATTGTTTCTTTTTTTTTTTTTTGACTGGATCACTACACAGGTACACTGGGGGAGTGCAGTAGCTACAATTAACCTAGACTTGAGGAAAGCATTTGACGAAGTCTCTCTCTTTTAAAAAAAATTTATTTTATTGTATTTTTTTAGATCTTAAACATACTCATTTATTTAATGATAAAGTAAAAAAAGATATTCTAGATACTAATACAATAAACCAAATGCATAAATAATAAAATACACCACAGTTCATTTTATTTTAAATTTATGGACAAAGTCTGTTGCTATTCTTGTGGAAAAGATGCTGAATGTGGTGGCACACAGCTGTAATCCCTGCTACCAGGAGGCTAAAGCTGGTGGACTGCTTGAATTTAGGAGTCTGAGGAGGTAGCTAGGTGGCACAGTGGATAGAGCACTAGGCCAGGGGTCAGGAAGACCTGAGTTCAAATTTGACCTCAGACATTTATTAGCTGTGTGACTTAACCTCTTTTTGCCTTAATCCACTGGAAAAGGAAATGACAAACCACTCCAATTATCTTTGCCAAGAAAACCCCATGAATAGTACACCCCTACCTCCAACTATCAGAAGGGCTATGGTGGGCAAAGTGATCAGTCTAATTCTCTTTGGCTTAGGAGGCAGAAACATTGTTGGGGATCTGTAAAGATGTAGAAGGCCACAGGATGTTCATGAGGTCTCACTGATGGGCAAAGGCCCCTCTCAGGTGACTGATCTATGAACAAAGGTCAGCTGGTTTGGTGCTCCATTATGTGGATCTTTAACAATCTTTAACTCCCCTAGTTATTGTATGGTCATTAGGCGTTTATCTGTGATTGCAGTCAGATAAGTGCACAGGATGTGCACAGCATGAGCTCTACGTTATTGTAACTTAAGAAGTTCCTGTTACTTTACTACTTAAATGAATGCTTTGTTAAAATTAAATGGAATTGCTTCCATCCTGCCTCCCCTGTCATCAATGTGCATTTGAGATAGAAGATCAAATTGGTCTTGATTCATCGGGTGATTGGGAAATCCTAGGCCCTAGGTAGGCTCTGTAGCCGAGTGAACTAGTTGTGCTCAACACATTGTAGCAAAGAGGCTGATGTTGGTTACATTTGGGAGAACCCTTCACCAAAAAGATCTAATCTTCTGGCCTGGAGCAGGTGCCAGTAACTCCTTAAGCGTTTATTAGGCACTAATTGTTTGCCAGAAGATACAAAAAGAGAGGATGTAGGAGAGGTACAGACCCCAGAATGCCTGAACCAACTGCTTTGAACTCATTTTGAGGAAGAAAGACTATTTGAACATCTGGATTGGAAGCAATCAATAGACAAGAGAAACCCTGATGGTATACATTTTGGCCAGAATAACAAAGTGGACTGGCCTCCAAAACTCAACATTTGGATGGCCCCAGGAATTAACTTCACAGGCACGTATGGTAAAATGGTTCTTCTAATTAATTCTTAGGGACAGAATATATTGAAATAAATAACTTTGACCATGAAAAATTGAAAAAACAAAAACAGGATCATGAAGAGTTGGACATGACTGAACAACAACAAAGAGGTGCAGAAAGGTTAAAGTTGATTGGGTGTCCTCACTGTCAGGCACCAATATGGTGAGACGCTGGGAGCTGAGGGCCATCAGTCAGCCTCAGAAGTGGGGAACCAGCCCAGCTCTGGGTTTGGGAAAGAGAGGGTGTGAGTACAGTCAATGTCACCTTGGAAGACGGGCTGTAGTGGAGATCTTCAGGGATCTGTGTTTCACCCCCTTCTGTTTAACATTTTTATCAGTGATTTGGAAAAAGGCATAAATACCATGCTTATCAAGTTTGCAGATGACACAAAGCTGGGAAGAATAATGAGTATATTCTATGATAAAGTCAGGATCTAGAAAGATCTTGACAGACTAGACCATCAAGTTGGAACTAGTCAGAAATTTCATAGAGCAAAGAGTAAAATATATTTCAGTCAAAAATAAAATTTACAAATGTAAGATGGAGAACTCATGATTGCAAAACAGTGTATATGAAGCAGATCTGTAGGAGAGTGCAAACTGAATAACCAACAGCCGGATACGGTAGCCACGAAAGGTAAAATGATGATCTTCATCTGCATTGAGAGTCATTGTATTTACGACTCAAAATTTTACTGTATTGTGAACAAAGCACAGGATTATTGTGCTCATTTCTAGGTGGTACATTTTGGAAAATACATGGAAACTCAGGCCCCACAGTTCCATCTGCTACACAAAGGGCCACTTCAGGTAGCTGTAGGAATGAGGCATTCTTAGACAACTCAAACAAAATTCTTTTGTTCCTGGTTGGTTTGTGGTGAATTCATAGCCATTTATCTCCTCCCTCCCCTGGCCCACATGGAGGTGAACTTTCTGTTCACACAATTCCCACTGGACTTTTTGGGGCCCGTCTGGTGATGATCATTCTGTAAGTCTTCTATTGCAGTCCAGAAATCAAGCAGTGTTTATAGAGTAATACAGGGGATGCAATAGTAAATATTTAACAACCAGGCTCTCCAGGGAAAAAAAAGTATGCATACATATTTTTAAATTTATCCCTAATATTTAGCAGTTTCTTAAATCTAGGCAATCAACAAAACAAAAAAATCAAGCCCTGATTTGTAAAATTACAGATTTCTGTAAATGCTCACACTGAAAATTTAACAATAGGTTTCCCCAAGTTGGTTAGAGCTGGGATCATTGGTTCATAATCTCTCCTATGACTAAGAAGATTCACAATAGCACCTATCACCCAGTATTGTTGTGAGGATCAACGAGATAATACATGAAAAGTGCTCTGGAAAACTTACAATGCTATAGAAGTGCCAGCTGTTACTATTTCATTTAAGCTTCTACATGAAGTTTTTCCTAAGCCCCTCAGCTTCATGCTCTCCTCCTATTTGCCATCAGCCATATCTACATATTAGGTATGAACGTGCTATTTTCTTTGATAGAACGTAAGATCTTGGGGACCAAAGGCTGTTTCACTTTTGTCTTTTTAAGCAGCACAGTGCCTAGCGCAATATTAGCTGCCTAATAAATGATTGATTGCTGACGTGAAGCTGCAAGGGTTAGCAAACACTTCCTAATTAGAACTATCCAAAAGTGAAACGGGCTGCTTCTAGGGGGTGAGGGGGGAGGGCGGGGATTGATTTCTTCATGGTCGGAAGTCTTCAAGAAGAGACAAGAAGACTAGCCACTGAGGCTGCAGGAGGGATTAGTGGTTAAATAGACTACTTGTCCTCTGAGGTTCCTTCACCATCCCGAACAAGTTCTGTGTGATTCCTCCTCTTTGACCGGATTTCCCTGTCCCAGGAATCATTTAGGTTAGAAGTTTGGGAAGATGGGCTTATGCTAACACTATCTCCTCTTTTTTCTCCATTCTGCCTTTTGTCTCTGGGCTTCGAGGTTACTTTCCGGGAGATAATAGGTTAATTGCAGCTGACTTGGGGGCAGTCCAGGGTGGGGATCGGTCCTTTTAGTCCAAATTCCAGCTAGGAGAAGTAGCCCGGAACCCAGGAACTTCAGAAGGAATACATGCTGTGAAGCCAGGCTGCTGTAGCTGAGAGCCTTATCAGAATGAGGAGAATTGGACAGCTTCCGAGAGGGACCCAGGAGCCAGTGCGGCTCACCCGGCATCAGGCAGGAAGGACGCGGGGAACCCCAGGTTAGTTCTGGCTGCCGGTGGCAACTTCCTTCCACGGAAGGGCTGATCTTCTTTCCCCCGCGGTTGTGGTGGAAAGGGGTTGAATTTTAAATCAGAGAACCTGGTTAGTGTGGCTATGCCACCTGGTATCTGGGCCAACTCATTTAACTTTGTTGGGCCTCAAATTAAAGGAGGTGGTCGCTACTGAAGACTCAGTGGCTTTGAGTCTAAAATTCATGATCCTGTGATCCTTCTTGGAGGAAAAACAAACAAAACAAAACTCAAACAACAAAAACCAGTTTCAGACCAGTAATAATATATCACTAAAGCAACAAAGTACTTTCCTCTTTACAACCCTGTGAGGTCCATGGTGCAAACCGCCATTCTGAAGATGTGAAAAGTGAGGCTCAGACAGGAGCAGTGACTTGTCTTTGGCCAAGCAGCAGAACCAGAATTTAAACACACAGGTCTTCTAACTCCAAGTACAGCACTCTTCACTAACTCAGTCTCCTCTCACACACTCCCACCTCCTCCCCCAGCATTTTCAGCACCTCTCTTATCTCATTAAATTATTCTTACATTATCCTCGACACACTACTCCTTATTCCATTTCCTCCCTTCTTACTCAGAATGAACCCTGAATCATTGAAGAAACAGGGAAGAAAACTGCCTTCTGCTCCTTGAGTAGGTAAAAGAGTTGAGAGAAAAGATTATTTTGATTCAATTCTTAAGATTCAGCTCTCAGTCTCACGGGAATGAAAAGTGCCACAATTGTCAGCACTGTGTTCCCTAAGGATCCTGACAATGCCAGATAGTCTGAAAACAATGTCTTCCTGCTCTGCCTGTCTATGCATATACCTGCCTGGTGCCCTCCTCATTCCCTCTTCCGCAGTCTCAGTGAATCGAATTAGAGAAAGTATCAAAGAAATTTAGAGCTGAAAGGGACTTTAGAAGCCATTCAGCCCAGTTGAGCTTTGCCATATTAGATTTCCAGACACTGGCCCAAAATACCTTTTTGCCTTTGCCCAAGGGAGTGAGACTTGTTCTATAGGTCATAGGAGACTTGACCTCTCCCTCTTCCACAGGGGGAGTCAGGATTATGAGTACAAGTGAGAAGGGAGAAACCTGGGAGCTGTTTGTTCATCAACATCTCTTCCCTGACCCAGCCTTTTAAATTTTTTATGATTTTTGCACATGGTGGACAAAATGAAAACCCAAATGCAAAATCCTCAATGTATTCACATGGGCCATATTTAAAGAGAAGAGAGGTAGATTAGCAGAGTGGACAGTAGATTGGCCTTGGGGTCAAGTTTTAAGCCCTGCCTTTGTCATATACTGGCCATGTATGTCTAGTCTGCATGAGTGGAGTTAATGAAGGCTGGGTCAGGGAAGAGTTAGGTAACCACGAGAAGGTAACTTTAACCTTTCAATGGCCCATTGTCTCTGGCACTATTAAGTTAAAGATGATGCTACTGACATGTCATGTAGGAAGGAAATCATAGTTTTGCTCTGAAAAAATACCAAAAAAACAATAATAATGGCACAAGGGATAATTAAGAGACTAGCAAGCCAAGGTCCTTTGGCAGTGAAACCACATTTTATCTTAAAGAAGGAGGCATTATTGGCTAATTGATCTTGTATTTGCGGTTTTCACAGACTTTGGATTCTCAGACCTCCATTGCATTAGGATTAAGGAAGCGCTCTCATGGAACCATATGTGGTCACTGCTCTTGGCCTGGTTCTCTGTACTTCCTGTTTGCTTTTCATTTCATCATTGAGAAAGAGTCATGGAAAAGTACAGCTTCCACCTGGCCCTGTTCTCTTTCCAATTGTTGGAAATATGCTGCAGTTAGACTCTAAGGATATCATCAAATCCTTTGGCTCACTAAGTTAGCATTATCTTTTTAAAAAAGCTATTCTGGTCCTGGCTTTTAGCATCCTTTGTTTCTGGAGACTGTGTGTTCAAACACATCATACTAAGGATTTTAGAAGCTAGCTTTTGTGTTATTTGATCCATATTTTGATTCATAGCTATGCTGTGGCTGGAAGGATCTAGTGAATCAGCTTTGGCTAGGTGTTACTGGGTTCTAGTAGGAGTCTGTATATATCAAGTAATTGAGGATAATTGCTACACATTCTTGAAGGCATGAGTGTCAGAATATTTCAATTGCTTTCTCTTGGCTTGAAAGTTCAAGGAGCCATCTCTATCAGTGAAGTCAGTCAATAAACATTTATTAAGTGCTTACTATGTGCCAAGCAATACAAAAAGAGGGGAAAGATAGTCCCTGCTCTCAAGGAGCTCAAAACCAATGAGGGAGATAAAAACTAAACACATATGCACAGACAAGATATGCAAAAGATAAATAGGAGATAATTAAAAGAGGCAAGGCAGTAGAAATAAAAGTTATTGGGTGAGGTTTCCTGTCAATGAGAAGATTTTAGTTGAGACTTAAAGGAAATTATGGAAGCCAGTTGGCAGAGATGAGAAGAGAGAGCATCCAGGCACACAACAGGCAGCCAGAGAAAATGTCTGGAGTTGAGAGTTGGAGTGTCTTTTTCATGAAAGAGTAAGGAGGCCAGTGTCATGGGATCAAAGAGTGTGTGGTAAGGAGTAAGATGTAAGAAGACTAGAAAGGCAGGGGACAGGTGTTATATTGTGAAGAGCTTTGAATCCCAAACTAAGGATTTTGCATTTGATCCTGGAGGCAATAGGGAATTTATTGAATAGAAGAGTGACATAGTTGAACCTGTATTTTAGGAAAATCATTTTGTTGGCTCAATGGAGGCTGGAATAGAGTGAGATAGACTTGCATCAGGTAGACCCATTAGGCTGTGGTCTTGATGTGGTGGCTGTATCAGAGAAGAGAGGAGGGCCTATTAGAGAGATATGCAAAGGTAAAATCATCATGTCTTGGCAACAGCTTGGATATGGGAGGTGAGAGATAAGGGAGAATCCAGAATGACTCCAAAGTAGTGAGCTTGAGGGGCTAGGAAGATGGTGTTGCTCTTTGAAGTAATAAAGAAGTTAGGGTGGGGAAGGCAGAGGAAGGATAACATGTCTTGGACATATAGTGATTAAGATGCCTATTGGCCATCCAGTTTGAGATGTTTGAAAGGCAGTTGGAGATTGAAAGTCAATATGGAGATTAGGGAAGGATAGGTAGATTTGAGAATCATCAGCACAGAGATGGTAATTAAATCCATGGGAGCTGATAAGATCACCAAGTGAAGTAGTATGGAGGGAGAAGAAAAGAGGACCTAGGACCAAACCCTGAGGGACACCTATGGTTAGAGGGTGTGACCTGAATGAGGATCCAGCAGAATGGAATGAGATTGCGGTTTAGTCATTTCAGTTATGTCCAACTCTTTGTGACCCCGTTTGGGGTTTTCTTGGAGAAATATTGGAGTAGTTTGCCATTTCTTCTCCAACTCATTTTACAGATGAAGATACTGAGGTAGAAAATGTTAAGTGACTTCCCTAGGGTCACACAGCTAGAAATTGTCTAAGGTCAGATTTGAATTCAAGTCTTCCTGGTTCCAGGCCTGGAACCCTATCCACTGTGCCACCTAGCTGCCCCAAGAAGAATGAGAAGGAGTGGTCAAATAGGTAGGAGAAGAACCAGGAAAGAATGGTGTTCTGAAAACCTAGAGAAAAGAGAATATCAAGGAGGATAGCATGATTGACAATGTCAAAGGCTACAGAGAGGTTGAGAAGAACAAGGATTGAGAAAAACAAGAATTGAGAAAAGGCAATTAAGGGAGGATTACTAACTTTGGAGACAGCCCATCACCATCATAGGCAAAAAGAGAGTATTTCATGAGTTTGATTGTTCTTAATTGCTGGGGGAAAAGAAAGGGTTCTGCAAACATTCAGGGATCAGAGTGTAGATGTTTTCCCTGCACAAGCCTCCACAGGAGCACTGACATATATAACCTCTGTGTGCAGCCTTCATGCTTGTGTGTAATCCTAAGTGTACCTGGCTGAAAGCAAGCCTGGGCTCAGGAACATCAGCCAGTTCTGAACTCTTGAGTATCCCTAGATCAAGATCTAGACCCTATAGCTCTCAAAGCCTTTGAGAGGCACCCTTGGGTAATAGGAAGAAGATTAGACACAGAATTAGAAAGACCTGGGTTCAAGTCCAGGCTCTTACACTTCTTAGCCTTGTGTCCTTGGAAAGTGATTTCATCTCTCTGAGCCTTTGTAGTTTCTTTGTGTGTAAGAGGGAAATTGTGCATTAGGGTCCTATCTGCCTCATAGGGTTGTGTGTGAAGATCGAATGAAGTTAACATAAATGAAAGTGCTTTATAGCCATGTAATATAATCATTATGACCTGGTAAGCCTTCAAACTGCTCTTTGAGCTTCCGCATGTGCAACATTAGATGAATGGATTACATGATCTCTGAAGTCCCTTCTGGCTCTAACTCTAATGATCTCATTGTATTGGTTTGTGGGATTTCCAGTGGGGAAAGAGGCCTGGCTAGCCCTGCCTCCCCTGGTTCAAGATTTCACTAATAGCATTCTCTCTTTTCCTCAGCTCAGGTGTTTTTACAGATTCAGAAAAAAAAAGAAACCAAACTCCTTCCTTTCCTAGGAAGGATAGAATCTTGACGTCTTTCATTAACCATCCTACTGCTGGCTGCTACCCCACAGAAAGGAATGGGATTTTTTGCTTTTGGCCCATCTGGATCCTGGGTCGGGCATGTGTTTCACTTGGATCCTTTCCATTATAAGCATCAAAAATGTTTTGAAGGGGCTGCTAATGTATTGAAAACTTTTCCAACGAGATCATCAGTGATAAACCAAGCTGTTTACACAGCCAGTTTGGTGGTAACGGTCAATGTGTCTGCCTCTCTTCCCACAGCTGGTGAAAAGCTAGGGTCCAGTGTTTACTCTGTACATTGTTTCCAAGCCTGTTGTTGTGATATATGGGTACGAGGCAGTGAAAGAAGCTCTGATTGATCATGGAGAAGAGTTTGCTGCCAGAGGAAGTTTCCCAGTTGCTAATGCTGTTAGCAAAGGTTTGGGTATGTTTCCTCTTGCTATAGAATGGGGAAACTAGATAAAACAAAATGGGGAAAAGAACATTTCTAACCAAATCTCCTAAATCAGGGACACACTAGGGAGGATAGGGTGGTGTAAAGACTATCTTTCTATCCTTAGCTCTTATCTAAATAATTTCTAGTTGAAGTAGAGAGAAAAAGATAGAAGTAAAGATAAAAGTACCAAAAGGGGTGGGATGAGAGAGAAATGGTGGCCATGGACAATACAGAAGGAGGAAGGAAGGCAAAGACCCAGAGGAAAAGAAGATAAACTTTCTCACCCACCCAGCTTATATATTTTGATACAACCTTCTTGGTAATCACTGTCATTCTCAAATGTCCATTCATCCATTTCATCTTTTAGTTGGCCAAGATTATTTTGATTTTTTTTTATCCAGAGGACTAATGGTCGATAGTCTCATACCCATGTTGGTTTTTCTTTATTGGAAACTCACCCTAAACTTGTATGTCTTGCTCTTGATAACCTTGATATTGACCTTTTGGCAGTCTGACCTGTCTTCTCCTTCATCTCCTTCCTAAATATATCATGAAAAACATTTTCAAATGCATTACTGAAATTCAGGTATAATATATCAAGGAATTTCCTGGGTCTATTAGCCTAACGACCACATCAGAAAATAAAATGAGGTTGAAGCTGACGTGATACCCATTCTGACCCTTAGGGGCCACCTGTTCCAAGTTCTTACAAACGAATCTCTTTCAGAGAATACAAAGAGGGTGGATGATTCAGACAAGGCACCTTGTTTATAGGACATTAGGGTCTATGCCTTATCATAGGAAGTCTGTCTCGCCAGATACATGCAGTTGTATTTTGTTTTTTTAATTACAGAGATGGCTAATAGATATCAAAGAAAGCAGCTCTCTTTATGATGACTTGCCAGAATATACCTTTAATAACTCACAAAAATATTAAGAACAGTTGTCTATTCTGGTCTTTTCATAGAATAGAGAACCTAGAACTTCAACTTTTCTCCAAAGGCATTTCAACTCCTGGACCAAAAGATACAGAGATATTGACATGAAGTTAATTTACTCCATAGTCATTTGGAGTCTTAAAAAATACATTCAGCCTGTCCTCCAGATTTATGGCTATTCCTTTATAATAAGGAAGATGGGAGTACCTGATTATCCAATGCATTTATGATTATGGTGGGTGAAGGGGGACTGGAGTTTGAGATGGAAAAGGGAACAATGCTGATAGAGGAGAAAGCAAACTGAGAACTACCACACTTATACCCATCATCCCCAAACAGGAATTGGGGTGGCCAATAATCCTTGTGCCTGGACTCTTTAGGGTAAGAGACACAAAGGAACTTCTAAGTCTAAACTTCTAAGTCTATTCACTTCCATGCCTGCTAGAGTATTGGTCCCATTTTCTCCCCATTTCTATTCCTGCTGGAAATAGGAGGAATATGGAGGAATTCCCTGTTCTTCTTTCTCTGATCCTCCTCTTAGGATTAGTTTTCAGCAGTGGAGAGAAATGGAAGCAAATGCAGCACTTCTCTCTAGCTACTCTGAGGAATGGATGGGGGAGAGGAGCATTGAGGAGCGAGTCCAAGAAGAGGCAAAGTTCCTGGTGGAAGAATTTAAAAAGCAAATGGTTGGTGCTATTCATTTACTTTATACTTACTTTTAAATTTTATTTTATTTGTTTTTTTACATCACTAATCTTAGGAAAAGTTGTCATTTCTCTCATTAAAGTTGTTAGTTCTCAGACCGAGGCAGTTTCAAGAAATGTATTGTAATCACCAACTACATGGGGAGTGTTTGATCTTTCAGTCTTGTTCTGGTACAAGATTATGAAACCCTGTGATCATTCCTGGAAGCCCTGAAGACTAGAAACTACTGAGAGAAAAAAGACAGGGGACATCATGTAGCACTTCTGATGGGTTTACATTGGGCATGTGGGGAAGACAGTGATGGAAAGAAGACTGAGCCAACAGTCAAAAGCCTAGGGGGTTAGTCCCAGCTCTATGACAATTGCCTTCTGTCCCACCTCTGCCCACCATCATTGCAGAAACAAGAGGGGCATGTATTCACAAGACTTATGAACATCATGGTTTACTTCATGGATTTCCATAGCCAAATGATTCATTACTCAGTGGTCACCTTCCAGATGATTCTCTTTGTATTTCACTAAGCTGGTTCTTGGGCAACAGAACCTGTCAAGAGCCTAGTCTTTGGGGCATAGCCTTCTTTGGAGCATAGCATTGCAGAACACAGAGTCACCCTTTTTACAGATGAGGAAATTGAGGTATGTGAAGTTAAATGTCGTGCCCATGGTCACACAATGAATAACTATCTGAGGTGAGATTTGAACTCAGGTCTTCCTGACTCCACATCCAGCAATCTATGCACTTCCCTACCTAGCTGTCTCTATTTTGTGTTTAAGAACAAACTTTACCTTCTTGTATGCAAAGTCCAGGAAGACCACTAAATGCTTACAAGGATCATCACACTGATAGAGAATAGTAGACTATATAAGGTCTATATGCCATATTTCCAAGACTAGTGAGATGGGATGGCCTACTTTAGGAAAGTGATCCCAGAGAAGAGTCTTGGTAGAAGGGTTACAGCTGGGATCCTGAACCTGGACATTATCATCATCCTTTCCAGCTATGACACAGTTCAAGACAGGATGGGTCTGAGCAAGATCTGGCAGGGGACATTTGAGGAGACTACAAAGAACTTTGCTTTACTCTTCCAGTTATTCAAATGTAAGTTGAGAAAGGTAAAGGTCAGTGTGCCCACCTCCTCCATCTCCCACTCTACTCTAAGAGGTTCAGTAGAAGGGTGTTCTTCCTTCTTCTTCAGATGCTAGGTGGCACAGGGAATAGAGCTCAATGCCTGGGTTCAGGAAGACTTCAGTTCAAATCCAGCCTCAGATACTTATCAATTCTGTGGCCCATAGTAAGTCATTTAACCTCTTTGTGCCCGGTTTCTTCATCTGTGAAATGGAGATAATAACAACACCTTTCTCCCAGGATTGTTGTAAGGAGCAAATGAAATTGAATAAGGTACTTAACATAGTACTTGGCACATAGTAAGAGCTATATAAATATTAACTATTATTATTCTATGTATTCCTAAATCTATGAGACCATAAGACACCAGAAGAGTGCATAAATTGGTACATAAGCCAATGCCACGATTTCTTTGTGAAAGCTGTTTTTGAAAGTGTAAAACACAAAATTAGCATATGTGTATGTGCATATAGGAAAGGATGGGAGCTAGGAGATAACAGAATACTGTCATGGTTTGGTCATAATCTAATTTTGCATACTCTTCTACACTAGAATATTTTACTAGGAATAGCTTCCTAATGAAAAAACAAACAAGTAAATGCAGTAGAGCAATATCAGCATACCCCTGTAGACATGAAACAGGAACACATACACGTGAAATCTTTGCAATGGCGGAATAATCCCAGATTTGTATGGCTTGTAAACGATGATTATTTCTTCATGACAACACTGCTAGTTCTTTAGAAAACTTCCACTAGGTGAAAATGTGGCTGCTTTGGGTACCCCAGAAGATGATCTCAACCTCAGGGTATTTAGAACAAACCTTTCCACCGTCTCACCTATCCTTCCCCTTGTTGTTCCAGTGTTTGGAGTTTTTTCTCCTTTCTGAGGTTATCCTTTTTACTTTTCTCCTCTTGTTCAGTCTCTTCCAAATTGCTGGCTCCTTCCTCATTACTTACAAACATGCTCAGGTCTCCCACATCCTTGAAAAAAATCTTCACTTAACCATCCTTTCAAGCTATCATCTTCTCCTCTCTTTCCTCTTTTATTGCCATATTCTGAGAATGAATCATCTAAAATAAATTCATCCCCTTTCAGTCACTTTTTAATAATTTGCAAATCTCTGTCTTGACCTTAGTATTTTATTGATTTACTCTGTTGATGTTACCAACAATCTTTTGTTTACTAAATCTTTGGCTTTGTCTAAATTCTCATCTTCCAGCTGTTGTACAGCTGTTGATCCTGGTGGCCACCCCTTCCTGTTAGGGACTCTGTCCTACTCTGACTTCCATTTCATTGTACACTCCAGCTTCTACTTAACTAATCTCAGTGGATTGGTTCATTGGATCACCCCATAGCCAGTGCTCTAGTCGTGTGTGTGTGTGTGTGTGTGTGTGTGTGTGTGTGTGTGTGTGTGTGTATGTGTGTGTGTTATGGACCCTATCTTATACCAAGATATTTTCTTCTTTTTCCATCTTCTCTCTCTTGGGTATATCATGTGAACCCATGGATTCTAGGCACAGCTAACTTCCAGATCTATACTTCTAGCTCTTATCTCTCCTCAGTTTTAGTCCTGAATCACCAGTTGCCTATAGGAAGTCTATCTGGATGTCCTATTTGCATCTCAAATTCAAAATGTCTGAAACTTAATTTATTATTTTTATCTTTCAATGTGTTCCTCCTCCAAACTTCCCTCTTTTTGTTGAGGACACCAGTGTTTTCCCAATCATAATTTAATTTCCTTCACTCTTGCCTCATATCCAATGAGTTGCCAAGTCCTATTCATTCTACCTCTACAACATTATTGGCAACTTTTTCTTCAGTCATCTGATTTCCAGTCTAATTCAGGTTCTTATCACCAGAACCCTTACCTACCATACATTGTTTCTCAATGGTCTCTCTGCCCTTATTGCCTCACTCCAATAGATTGTTTACATACCTGCTGTTAATATGACTGGTTTGTCCATGTCACTGTTTTGTTCAAAGCTCCAGTGTGTCCCTGTTACCATAACCTGGCTCCAGCCTAACTTTCTGTCTCATTTCAAATTATTTCCCTTAATGCCCTCTGCATTACAACCAGATTGGCCTACTTGTTCCCTGAGTACATCTCATTCTAATACAAGCTATTCAACATTTCTATCAATGAGTTGAATAAAGGCAGAGGTGAAATGCTTGTCAAATTTACAGATGGTCTGCATCCAGAAGGAACAGCTAATATGTTGGAGAACAGAAGGATGTTATCTGGATCCCCCTAAGTTCCCAGCATAGTGGTTTTAAGAATTGATCAGGGAATTGTGTGTTTGTGTGGGGGTGGGTTTGAAAGTAAGTGCTAAGTATACTTCCCTTTCTATATGAAGGCTTTTCTGATTCCCCTTTCTCCCTCTGAGATTATATATAGTTTGTTGCTACATAGTTGTTTGCATGCTGTAAGTTCCTTGAGAACAGGGACTATCCTTTGCCCTCTTCACATCTTCAGTGCTAGAACGGTACCTGCCTAACACGTAACAGTTGTGTCTAATAAATGGTTGCTGACTGACCATTTGATTTGAATGAATCAAAAGTCTATCGTTAATAGTCTAGGAGAGAGCTAATGAGAGCCTTCACCTAAGTGGTGCCAATGTAAGAAGAGAGAAGGGGGGTATGCCTGAGATGCTAGGAAGGCAAAATTGACTGGCCTTGGCAACAGATTGGATTTGGGGGAGTATGAGAAGGTAAGAAGTTGAGGATAATGCTCAAGTTGTGAGACTGGGTCATTGGGAGAATAGTAGTACCCTTAATAGTAGTAGGGAAGTTAACAAGAAGAGAGGGTTTGGGGGGTGTGGAAAGTAAGGAGTTCAGTTTTCAATGTATGTAAGAGATACAATGAGAAATAAAAGTACTTAGAAATGGAGTAGATGTGGGGAGTGAGGGTGAGAAAAGAATGATGGAGGTATTAGAAGATGGTGGAAGCAGCCTTTAAAAGAAAAGATTGAATTTCATAGATAGGGGATAAGATGCAAAGGCTACTTAATGGGCTGAACCCACCACTGATTTGCAGGAGAGTTTTGACCTGTTCCATTTCCTTTCTGGATTAGTTCACCCTCTTTATTTAGGCAAAAAGGTCATTCCTCTCCTCTCCCCTTCCTGAAGACTCATCACATTAATTCTAAACCCAATTGACTTAGCTCACTGTTGATTAGAACTTCTAAGCTCAAGAAATTTGCCAGTTTCAGACTTCTAGGTATCTGGGATTACAGGTGTGGGCTGCCACACCTAGGGGAAACAGATTTTGACAAGGCAAGTAGTGTGGTGTGGTAGAAAGAACACTGACTTTGGAGTCCATATTTTGGACTTTGCTAGTCAGACTTGCCAGCCAGAGCACAGAATTTGGAGTTGAATTTCACCTCTTTCACCGGTTGTGGGACCATGTTCCTTAGCTTTTCAGACATAGTTCCATAGTTCCATTGCTCTCCAGAATGGACAGACCAATTCACAGCACCTGCTTACATGGGCCTTAAGTACTGAGATATGAAGGAACTCAGTGACTCTAAAAGTGACACTGTTATTTCCTTTCACTTGGAGAAGAAACTGTAGGAAGACATAAGGTATATCTGGACAAAGAGGGAATCAAGAGATGAGGCATGGCATCTTGCAGGAGGAGTTCCAGCTGGTAATTAGAGAAAAAATATACTGGAAAGTGATGGGACACTAGAGTTTGTGCAATTGGGAAGGGGCATCAGGCATTAGGAACTCCATATGCTATCGCTTACTTTTTTTTGGCAATCATGTGGGATAGAGTAAGGTGTTGGTCACTGTTAACTTTTTTTCTCTCTCCAATGATAAAATTCATTTAAGCAAGGATACATAATTGGAATAA